CCCCTAAATATATTTTAGCAAACTTAGTAGTCAAAAACCTCAATTTAATTGTTTTATTTTATTAATTATGTGGCTACACTTTATTACCAGATTTCTCTGCCGCTCTTTAACGAGAAAAAACCCGACCTGATTCGGCTTCTTTGTAGAGATTTTCTTTCTTTTTGTAGGCGGCACCAGATTTATTATAAGCATTAAGAAGTTCCTTTGCCAATTTTTCGGACATTGGGCTCGGGCTTTCATCTTCATGGGCTCCTTCCACTAGTCATCTCAATACTATTTTTTCGCCTCGTTCATCATCAATTTCTTTGGGAACCCGTCTCTTTTCAGCCCCAACACGTCGGCTTTTCATTTCCAAACCTGGCTTGCTATTGGTCCGTGCCCCTTCCAGCACAGTCAAAAAGGACAAAGAAGTTTTTTTTTCAATTATTTGGGCGGCTTCGTAAACTATCTTGCGGGCTTTTCTTTTTTCACCATTTTTCATTACTTTGTTAATTAAGCGGCTAACAATTACGGAGGCAAACTTGGGATCCGGATTGATTACATGTTTTTTAATTACTTTTTTTTTACGCATTATTTAAATTTCTTTTGGTGGCAGTTAACACTTGCTTGACTTTTTCTTCATCACTTCACTTATATTATTATTTTACAGATTACAAATTTTTTTAAAAAACCGCTACTTTTTTTCCGGCTCGGTCCTGGCGACCTCTCTCTTTTTGTTTCTCTAATAGTTGATTAAATTCTCTTTCGGGAAACTGATAATTATTTTTTGCTAAAAAAAAACGGATCAACTCCTCTGGAATACCTTTGGTATCATACCAAAAAAATATATCTTTGGCTGTAATTGAAGGCTCGTAATACTTGCCTAATTCTTGGATTGATTTATCGATAAACTCCCTAGTCTTAACGATTTCTTTTTTTAACTCATTAATTATTAAATCCTCCCTTTTTTTTAAATGTTGGTAATAAGAAGAATTAACCGCAATCAATTTTTTGCTGACTTCTATCAATTGTTCAGTGCTCAAACCAAGTAAATAGGCCAGCAAGGTGGCCTTTTTGACTAATTTTTTAAGAATATAACCTCGCCCTTTGGGTTCAAATGTGGCACCATCAGCCAGAGCGAAAATAGTTGTTCGCAGGTGGTCGGCCATAATATAATAATTTCCTTTTTGTTGGTTAGTATTATTCATTATTTAAACTTATTAGTGTTATAAATCTAGCATTATTTTTCTTTCGGCAAAAAAATAATCAACCAATTAAACGAAAAATAGACAATGATATTTTGTCGAGACCAAAAATAAACGGGAATGTTTTTAGTTAGACAACGATATGAAAAATAAACACGAATATTTTCATTCACAATGAAAGAAAAATAAATTATTTCGGAGTAGGAGCCTTTTTCTTATTA